CCTAGTCACTTGTATCTTCCTCAAATTAGACAGTTCTCTGCCATCAACCCATTTGTGAGTCCCCTTTTTTTGTAATTAGCTGTTGTCAGTGGAAGAAAGAATGATATGCCCAAAAAACATGTAAAGAAACCTTGTTTCAGTGCTTGTTAAGGGCCATGCTGTCCATTGTGGAAGTCTCTAGTCACATATGGTTATTTAAATTTTAATTAACCAAAATTAAATGAAATTAAAAATCAAGTTCTTCAGTCACTTTAGCCACATTATAAGTGCTCATTGGCCATATGCAGCTAATGGCTACCACAGGGGATAGAGCAGATATAGGATATTTCCATCATGGCTGAAAGTTCTGTTGACAGTGCTGCTTAAGGGTATTATCTACACTGTGAGAAATATGTATGTGTATATACACAAACACACATACTTCAATTTTTATTCATTTATTGATATATGTATATATAAACATTCATAAGATTATCTTGATATGTTATATCACCTGTTTTTAAAAAATTGGTACTCTTATTTTTTGTTAATTGGGGGATAATTGACAAACAATGCGTGCATCCTTTTTAAGTGTACATTTCAATGAGTTTTGACAAATATATACACTTGTGTAACCACTACCAAAATCAAGATAAAGAACATTTCCAACACTTGAATAGTTCCCCTTGCTGTCAGTCCACCCCCACTACTAGCTCCACAGAACCAGTGATCTGCTCTTTGTCAACATAGATTAGCCTCTTCTAGAATTTCATTCAAATGGAATTTTACGTTTGCAATTTTTTGTTTTAGGCTTTCCTTAGTAGAATGTTGTTTAGAGGTTCATCCATATTGTTTGTATCACTAGTTCATTTTTATTGTTAAATAATAATAGTCCATTGTATATATATATCTCAGTTTGTTTATCCATTCACCTGTTGAGCTGGTTTCTAGTTTTTGGCTATTATGAATAAAACTGTTTATGAGCTCTCAAGTACAGTCTTTGTGTAGGCATATATTATCATTTCCATTGGGTTTCATACCTGAGAGTGGAATTGCTGGATATATAGTAATAAGTGCATGTTTAACTTTATAAGAGTTCACCAGACTGTCCCTGGTAACATGAGAGATTCAGTTGCTCCATGTCATTACCTACACCTTGTATTGTAATTCTTTTTAACATTTGCCATTCTTGTGGTCGTATTGTAGCATCTCCTTATGGTTTTATTTACATTTCCTTGATGAATAGTGATGTTAAGCATCTTTTCAACTGCTCATTAGTTTTTTTGTGTATCTTTTCTTTTGCCAAGTGTTCAGATTTTTTTGTCTTTTTAGTTGGGCTGTTTGTCTTTCAGAGTTATAAGACTTTTTATATTTTGGACATATAAGTCATCAGATATCTATCTATATTGGTATCTATCTAATATATTCTCCCAGTCTGAGACTGGCCTAATTTTCTTAACAGTCTCTTTAGGAAAACATAAATTTTTAATTTTGATGAAGTCCATTTTATACATTTTTTCCTTTTATGATTTGTACTTTTTCTGTACTGAGAAATTTTGTCCATTCAGAGGCTGTGAAGACTTTCTAGTCTACTTTCTTTTAGAATTTTTACAGTTTTATCTTTTACGTTTAAGTCTGTAATTTACTTGGCATTAATTTTAGAATGTGTCACAAGGTAAAGTTTGAAGTTCATTTTTTCATCTATATGAACATTTGTTTAAAGACTATTCCTTTCTCATTAAATTATTTTGGCACCTTCATTGAGAATCAATTGACACTATTTTATTGGCTGGAATTTTTTCTGAACTCTTTTCCTGTTGATCTATATGTCTGTCCTTATGTTAATACCACACTGTCTTGATAAGCTTTATGGTAAAAATTAAAATCAAGTACTGTTAAGTCATACAGCTTTCTTCTGTATCAAAATTGTTTAATCTATTTTAGCTCTTTGACATTTCAGTATACATTTTAGAATTAGCTTGTTGATTTCTATAGGAAGAACTTCTGGGATTTTGATTAGAATTGTACTGAGTCTATAAGTCACTCTGGGGAGGAGTGACATCCTACCAATACTGAGTCCTCAAGCTGTAGCATGGTATATTTCTCTGCTTATCTAGGTCTTCTCTAAGTTTTCACAGCAATATTTTGTAATTTCATACCACAATTCTTGCATATATTTGTTGTATACACTGAGTATTTCATGGTTTTAAATGTTATGTCATGTAAATCTTTAAACACTTAAGAATGTCTTCAGTTACTGATTACTAATCTGTAGAAACAATTGATTTTTGTACATTAAGCTTGAATTCTGTTACCTTTCTAAACTCATTACATATTTTTTTGTAGATTTCTTAGTATTTTCTATATAGATGATTATGTTGTTTACTGTTAGAGACAGTTTTACTTCTTCCTTTCCAATCTGAATGCCATTGATTGATTGATTGATTGATTGCCTTATTGCATTGGTTAGGACTGCTAGTAAAATATCGATATAGTGAGAATGGGCATCCTCACCTTGTAACCAATTTTAGAGAGTAAGCACTGAGTCCTTCACCATTAATAATGATGCTAGCCGTAGAGTTTTCATAGATATCCTTTATCTGGTTGAAGGATTTTCCTTTCATACCCAGTTTCTTGAGTTTTTTATCTTGAATGATTAAATTTTGTCAGATGCTTTTTTGTTTTGTTTCTTAACAATCATATGGTGTTTCTCTTTTTCTTTTCATATGGTAGATTATTGATTGATTTTCAAATGTTAAAGCAGCTTTACACCCCTGATATAATTTCCACTTGGTTTTGATGTTTAGATGTACCTTTTTATTTTTGGGGTTTTTTGTTGTTGTTATTGTTCTTTCCCCCCTTTTAGTGTCTTTGCATTTGGTTTCAGAATAATGGTGGCTTTGTGAACTAAATGGGAGTGTTTCTTTCCTCTATTTTCTGAAAAGGTCTGTAGGATTAATATCATTTCTACTCTAAATGTCTGCTGGAATTCATCAATGAAACCATCTGGGCCTTCAGTTTTCTTTATGGGAGTGTTTTAAATAGCAAGTTCAATTTAAAAAGAAATAAATGCAATGTGCAAAATTGTGATTTATAAGAAATATATGTTCAGATGACCAAAATATATTTCTCAGATATATTTGGTCTTCATCCAAAGTTCCTGGTTCACAGCTCCCGAAAACCCTTGGAATTTCCTGAGTGATAAGAGCAATGGGAACATCTTTTGTTATATTTGGTTTCTTGTCCTCAATTCCTGAAAAACAAAACAAACAACAAATAAAAAAAACCTGCTTCAGAGCCATAAAGATGAAATGAGTGTATTGTTAATAAGCCCTTAACACCACAAGTGAGTTTATGTTCATGAAAGGGACTTTCACAAAGCACCTAAAGATGGTGGCTGGTTGTGGGGAGAACAAACCACGAACAGAATCAGAATCAGAAACCCTGATTTCTGGGGAGGAGGGAAGGGATAGAGGTTGAATCAATCACCAATGGCAAATGAGTTAATCAGTCATGCCTATGTAATGACACCTCCATAAAAACCAAAAAAGGAGGAGGTTCAGAGAGCTTTCATGTTAGGGAACCAGTATGATTCCAAGTGCCACCATGATGGACCCCAAGCTCCATGAGGACAGAAGCTCCCTTTTTTGGACCTCACCTTTTGTATCTCTTCATCTGGCTGTTGACTTGTATTATTTAATATCCTCTGTAATGAATCTGTAATCTAGTGAGTAAATGGGTTTTCCTGAGTTCTGTGAGCTCTTCTAGCAAATTAACTGAACCTAAGGAGGAGGTTTTGGGAACCTCTGATTTATAGTCAGTTGATCAAAAATACTGATAACAACCATTCATACCTTTCCATTTAATCTCATTTCATAATGATAGTAACTGCAAGGCATAACCAATGGTTGCCCTGGTTAATATTTGCTCAAGTTCTAAGTCATGCCCATTTGTAGTCCTACTTTTATGAAGGAATGAAGGACTATTTAAAATAGTTTTGCTATAACACTGGAGCAAGTGAATACCTTCTAGAGCTTCAAGTTTTATAGTGATAAACCTGGACTCTTTCTGTTTAACTTGTGCAGTCTTATTTGCTATGTTTAAGGAATTAATACTTGCTGCAACAGAACACAATGGTGTGTGATGGGATAAGAGATAAAATTGTACATCAGATGAAATAGAGCTACCAGAGTCGGATATGCCTTCCAA